CCGTTTTTCAGTTTTGTTCATTCACTGCTGTGTTCTCAGCACTTAGAACCGTGCCCAGTACATAAAGGACACTCGGTGGAATGAATCATGAGAATTGTTTACCGTTCAAACTTGCAAATGTTAAAAACTGTGAAAATGTAAAGCTAACAATATAAATGCAACTAGTAGTGAATGGGGAGGGGATGCTAAGTGAAATAATCAATCCTCAAATGTGAAGAACAAGAAATTAATACAGTCTAGGTTTGACCAACTGAAAAAACTACTTGATCACTTTTAAAAGCTAATGAGGCATTTTAAGTTTTGCCTTTGTAAATAATTTTCATTACCTTCCGGGCTCAAGCTTTCTATTTATAACTTATGACTCACCAGTGCTTTGTGAAAAACTGACAAGTAGCCCAAATGGCCTAAATCCAGTGGGGAATGATTACATGAAACTAGACAAGTCAGATACATACACTCAGATAGAAATATAAAATGTGGCCAGCGCTGTCAAGGATCCGAGGAAGGCGACTCTCAAACATTACTGGTGGCCATGTAAGGTGACATAACATTTTTGGAGACACTTTGACAATATTTAGCAAACTTTATAATGTGCATATTTACTCACTCAGAAAACCCATTTCTGGGAAACAGTATACAGATTCATTTGTAAGATGTACAAGGATGTTCGCTGCAGCATTGCATATAATAGAAGAAATGGAAGCAAATCTTAATCTCCACCAAAGGTAACTGACGAATTATGTTCCAAAAGTAAATGCTAAGCAGCCAATAAATGCATGTGAGGCAGATGTACACATGTTGACCTGTGAAAATATGCACAATATATCAAGTGGAAAAAGCAAACTACAGAACAACATATGCAGTGTGATTTTATTTATATGAGAGGAGGTATTTAAACCTATAGAAGCATGTGTTTCCAACGGTATTTTGCTGGCATAGAAAATATCAGGAAGGATACCTCCAAACGGTTCTGGTAATGACCTCAAGGGACCGAGACTTGGGAGAGAGGATAGAGAAATGGAGAGGTTTACTTCATAACCTTCTATAACATTTAAAATTGTCTTAAACATCATGCATTACTACCATCATAAAAATTAATTTTAAAAGGCTCACACATTTTTAAATACATCTGTTCAATGCCTACAATGCGTTGAACACATGAAATGATGTGCTTTGTGTCACAGGAGGAAAGGCTTAGCAAGGAAATGGTTCAAGGTCATATAGCATCCACAGGCACATATAGAAGAAACTGTAAGCTCCTTGAAGACAAGATCAGTGACATTTTGGTCACCATCAATCCACAGTGTCTATCTCTGTGTTTGGTACATAAGAAATGTTCAATTCAATAAATATTTGCTGAGTAAATGGATGAAGGCATGAGTGAAAGCATATGTTAAGGACCGGAAGTCATCTGTGACTCAATATCCCTACCACACTTACCCTTTCATGAGCCTAGATTTGTTTATGTGAGAAACCAAACTTCAGTTTAGATGCTCTGTGATCTCCTCTGGATGCATGAAACTTATCCTGTGGCTAAACCCGCAGGGAAAGCAGGCACCTGGTGGGGGATGAGGAATACCCTCTCTGAGCCCGAGGTCTTGCAGGAAAGGTAACAAGTTAAAGAGGTACCATGTTCTCTGTGCCTTCTGGCTCCCACACTGGATTTTTTGGGTGAGGGGCCGGGGATGACATTCAATAGTATATTAGTTATTACACAAGTACAACATAGAGGTTAGACATTTATACAACTTAAAAAGTGATTCCCCGATACGCCTTGCACTCGCCTGGCACCATACACAGTTATTACAATTCTATCAACTCTGCTCCCTAGGCTGTCGTTTACATCCCCGGTTACTATTTCATAACTGCCAATTTGTACTTTTTAATCCCTCACCGGCTCCCACACTATCTGGAGTACTGTGTTCTAGAGACGCGTCCAGCAAAGCCTCTAGGTGTTTTAAACACCTTCGAAAGGAAAGTTGGTTTTAGGTTTTTGCACTTTTAAGCTTTGAAGTTTTAAAACACAAATAGCGACTATCACACCCGTGCTGAAAGCTCTTTGGTGGCTCCCAGTGCACTCGGCCACATCACCGAGCCATTTTTCCTTCACTGCCAACACTCCAGCCTCACTACCCCTCTTTCAGTTCCTCCAACTTGCCGAGATCTCTCCTGCCTCTGGCCTTTAGCACATGCTGCATTCTCAGCCCAGGGCCTTTCTTCCCTTGTCTCCTCACCGAGCCAACTCCTTCCTATTCGTTCTTCAGACTCTATGTTCGGTAACAGTCTCCCCGAGAGGCCTCACTGCCCCCATTGTAACCTGTGTCTCTTCCTGCCTCTCTCTGTGTTTCTCCCTCTGTGGCACTTATTGAACTTTGTATTTACATGTGCATTTGTGTTTACTGTTTTAACATCTATGCCTTCGTTAGACTATAAACGCCAGATGATGAAAATCAGGACTGTGTTTGCTGACCAGGGCTAATCTCAATAAATATTTGTGGGTTGAACGAAAAGGAGAAAGTAAATTTTATTCACCCCTTTTCATCCTTTTTTCATAAACATAAGTTGAACAAATAAGAAAGGAGAACTGAGTCCCTTCCTTACTCATAGTCAAGGCAGGCTGTCCTATGATGAGATTTTGGGAGTCTTTACATTAATGGGAAGGACAGGATTTGGCACATGGGAAATTTCATTAGATCCAAGGGAAGACAGGGAAAGGTGGTGTTCTGAAAGGGGAATAAGGGTTAAAAAGCTAATTCTTTTAATGTAGTAAAGGAAGTGGGGCAGAGAACAGAGAGACAGTTGCAAATGCTTGTGATTAAAAGGAAGGTGAGGGGAACTTTTGAACGTCACACTGGAATAGAAAAGCCAAGTCCAGGTTCACCAGGAGAGAACGAGTTGGTTGAGGCATCAACTTGGATCTTACAGAGGTCAGAGAGGGTGACGAGAAATGCCTTTGTTCACAAGGAGTTCCAGGTAGGAGGTGAGCACACCTGGAAAAAAGCTTAACTGAGGAACGAAGAGGAAAAAGGGAGGGAAGTTCGGAGGAAATAAACTTACAAATCCTATATGCTGTTCCACACTGATTGAGCATCAAGTTCTAAGTCTGGGAGACACGTTATGCATTAGAGTATTAATGAGAGACCACAAAGATGAATGCTACTTTCCTGGCAAATGTCCAGGGTGCCCTTTAACCTGACACAGTGGGATGGCTTGGCTCGCCCCACATTCAATCTCTAATAAAGCCTCTATGTCTAAGAAAATGACAATGAGCCATGAGAACGGAATGTGCCAGGGGTCCAGTTGTCCAGTTTCTCCTCACGCCTACTGTGCCTCCTGGTGGATTCTCCACACCTACAATCGTATCTTGAGAACTGTGTGACTCTCGGTTTCACCTGGGGCACTGTATTTCTTTATAAATTGTCTAAAAAAAAAATAGTTCGGTAACACCCCCGCAACCCCAGAAATGTCAACGGAGAATGCTGGAGACCAGAGTAATAATAGTGGACAAGAGATATGATATTCATCAAGCTCACTTCGTGACAGACTGTTCTAAGACCCTCATAATTATCAACTTGTTTCATCTTCACAAAAATGGCATAAAATTGTTAGTAGTAGTACTATTCCTGCTTCCAGAAATGAAAGCTCGAGAGACTGACGTCATTCAGCAAAGTGCAAAAGGACTCAAACCCAACGGACTCCAAAACCTTAATCATTAGCTCCTTAAATTTGTATAAACCTCACAATTTGCACAGCCCTTTAGAAGTAATAGAAATATTATCTGATCCTCTCAGGACCATTTCTGTCACCATTGTATAAATAGGGAAACTGAGGCTCAGAAACATTAAATTTCTGGTGTAGAAAATCAATGGCACTAGTACCCCCCAAGGCAGAGGCTGAAATCTACAACTCTTCATTCCTAAAAGGCCACACCATCTCTCACTTCTGCTTTAGCAGCCTAGTTGGTGAGGATTGAATTGCGTCTGCACAATCAGATATGCAGAGGGATAAAAGCTGCATCTAGGGTTTATTGGGTTTGGCATGAAAGTCCTGACACTAGAAATAGGACATTATCTCCAGGCTGAAATATGATTTCATACGGCCTCAGCGTCAGGGAGTATCCGTGGGAAGAGAACAGGAGAAGCTGACCAAGTGAGAGGTATTTAGTAGCCGACTCCAAAAAATTATCCTTTCTTGGAGCCTATCGCCTATCAGAGTAGCCCCGCTGAGGCAGCAGTCTGGGAGAGTGACCAAAAAGCAATGCAGGACGCGACAACAGAGGAGAGGAACCCCAGTCGAAACCCACCCCTGAAGACATTTATTCTGTCTTTTCTGGTTAACGCCCCTCTTGCCTTCACTGTCTTCCCCACCCCTCCCATACCGTGCCCATGGTGCCAAACATTGTAATGCAACCCCAGGCCACTGTGTCTATGTTTCTTTCTCCTGTCTCAATTACCCCACGAACAAATCAATTATTTGGGGGGCGGGGGGCGCCTGATGGCTTCTAGCAGCCAGGGCATTGCAGCTCTGCCTCACATTACCCACTAACTCATCATCCTTCCATTACACGCTTCACACCGAACCACAGTTGCTTCCGATCCGCAGTGACCCACCCCCTGTTGGAAAAAAACTGCAGTCCAATAATGCTGAGATGGTTAGGAATCGAAGTAATGGCTCTTGCGGCCAACTCCCTGAGAAGCGGAAGCTTAGGGCAGGGATGGGAAAGCCTAGAATGTACTTCCCTCCTTGGCAACGTTGTCCCCTCCGAAGGACCTGCTGGGCAAAGGGCCGCCGCAGAAAACCGCGCATCCAGGGGATCCTACCCCTTGGCTCTTGTGCCGCGACTGCTGCTATAGAAACACCAGGCGTACACACTGAGCTGAAATTAAACACCCATCCGGGACTGGGACTGAGACTGCTCTGCCTGCTGCCTCGGTCGCCATGGCAACATGCCGGGAGCAGGACAGCGAGCGACTGGACTCGAGCAGCGAGGGGATACTCACTCCATAGCTCCGGGCTGCCAGGCGCGCTGCTGCGTGGCTCACCGGCGCTGCTCGCATCTGCTGGAGCCTGGTGCTCTGGCCGCGCGCCGTGCTGCGCGCGAGGTGGAGCCGGGAGCTTCTCCCCTCCCCTCCCGCACCCTCTCCTCCCCTTGAGGGTTGAAAGTAAAGGCTCGGGCTCTGTCAGCTCCCAGCCTGCAAATAAAACGGGAAGCAATTGGATAATGTTGTTCGTTAGGAGCTAGACAAGCCACTCCACTTAAGTGTTTTCGGGAGGGAGCGCACTGGCAGCTGCGCCCCGGGCGGTGTGGCCACCAGCACCCAGTACCCGGGCGCCTGCGGCGCCAGGTGCGCCGGCGGCTCCCCTGGGGCTCGCAGGCGCAGCACTGAGGCGCCGGGGTCGGGTAGGAGGGAAAGAGGAGCTGCTGCGGCTGGTGGCACAACCCAGAGAGCGCAGGGAAACGGTGGAGTCATTGGCAAGGTTGCAGCTCTCGTGGTTTGGAAGTTGGAAGAGGAAGAAGCGTCTGGTCTCAGCAAATAGCAAGTACTGCCCCCAGTGGGCTGGGCATGGGTTCGGAAACGCCATTGTGCCAGCCCAGCGGGCATCGGTCTGAGTTTCCCAAGGAAAACTCAGCCGCGTTGCGGCGCGTTAATGCAGTGTTTCATCACTTTGGCGATCCCACGCCCTTCTTTTCATTAAACGTTCTGCGTATTCCCGCCCATCAAAAATATTAGTCTCCCTAGTCCTTTCTTTGAAAACAATAGATATATTGAATATGGTTTCTCAAATTACCAAGGCCCCACCGCAGAGTTATAAATCTCTCTGGAGCGTGTATTCCTTCCCTACACCCCTTCTGAAAATCCCCTACTCCTAAAGGTCTCCGGAGTGGGAACCTGTCTCCCACCCATTGCACCTGCTGCAGTGAAGAGTAGATGGGAAAACTGTCAGGCTTCACTGAACCTTACTGCCCAGCCCCTCTGTGCGTGGGTGTCTGCCAGCTGCAGAGGATGCCGCGCGGGCAGAGTCACGCCGGTCCCTGCCCTCGTGGAGCCCACCGATTAAAGCAGAAGACAAGCACAGAGAAGACGAAAAATAAACAGAATCACAAGCTGAAAATACTGCTTTAAAAAATCAAGTAATAAAATGTTGTGATGAAGGTTTTATTTTATTTTTATTTTTTTATGAAGGTTTTAAAATTAACTTGTGATGATAATTGCACAGCTCGGTATATACTAAAAAAAACACTGAATTGTACATTCTGGGTGAATGTTATGGTATATGCATTATATTATATCTTAACGCTGTGGTTTTTTGTTTTTTTTTTAAACTCTGATGGAGAATAAAAGGGGAGCGGACCTGCCATGGTAGAGTGTTTAGGAAAGCCCCGGCGCCCGAGAGCCTGGCCTGAGAAGGAGAGGGCTGGGATATGCAAGCCACAGGGGAAGGACACTCTAGCCAGCCATCAGCTTGTTTAGTGGCTCTAGCAGCTGGAAGGAGACGTGCAAAATATTCTGGGTGGATTCACTGCTCCTCCTTTCCCTCTGGAAAGTGAGCCACAGAGTCAAATGCAATGAAGATTCACGGTGCTGTTTTGTGGAAAGAGATTCTAGATCACCTCCAGTTTTCCGTCACAGAGTCCAGTGTGAATTGAAAGATCATAGAACCCTCCCTCCACTCATGTCCGTCTCCAGCTACCATCCTCCTTCCACTCTTGCCCTTTGTAGTCAAGCCACTACAAAACATTGATTATACTGTACTCACCATTTCTACATCTTTACTATCTTTACAGCCTCACCTCCTATTTACTCCTGTAGCGTAGAGGATTAAGTTCAGCTGTGAGTAATTAAGAAACTTAGCCAGAAAAGAGATTTGTTTTTGTACCTCTGAACAGCTCAGAGATAAGCAATCCTGGACCAGTTTAGCAGCTCTCAAAGAACGAGGGGACCCAGAGCCTTGTCCAAAATGTTGCTCTGTCATTGCTGTTCTTCCATCCTAGAGTCACTTCATAGGCCAAGTTAGCTGCTCCAGCTCCAGCCATCATGTCTGCATTCCAACCAATACAAAGGTGAAAGGACCAAAGAAGGGGCAAAGGAATCATGCCAGCTGCCTTTTAAAGAAGGCTTCCAGAAGCTGTCTCAGGACACCTTCGCTTATATCTCTTTGACACACGGCCATATTCAGTTTCCAAGGACACTGGGCAGAGCAGTCACCACTCTGCATAGTCATGAGCCTAGCCGAAAATGGGAGGCGCCATTCCTATGAAAGAAGGGGAACGTGGGTATTGGGGGCTAGCCAGCAGTCTTTGCCATGCTCCTCAACCCTTAGCATCCTAGCTTCGGTCTCCCCCATGCCACTGACGCTGTTCACCAGAGCCATCAATGCCAAACACAGTGGGCAAGTCTCATTCCTCTCGCAGGATTGATGAGCAACATTTGACGTTTTGACCACCTCTTTTCGTATTTGACTTTTGTACTTTAAGTTGGGCTTATTGAGGCATAATTTATATATAGTAAAATTCATCCTTTTTAGGAGTACAGGTCTATGAGTGTGGATGCATGACACAGCATGTAACCACAAAAATAGTGACAAAATAGAACACTACCATCATTGAAAGAGTTCTTTTGTGTCCCTTGATAGACAATCTCCTGCTTCCACCTCCAATCCCTGGCAACAACTGACTGATTTCTGTCCGTACAGTTTTGCTTTTTCCAGAATGCCATATAAATGGAATCGAGCAGCATGTAGCCTTTTGTGTTTGGCTTCTTTCACTGAGCAAATGCTTTTGAGAATCATCCATGTTGTCGGGTGTATAGGTAATTCCTTTTCATTGCTGAGTAGCATTCCACCATACAGATAGATGTACCATGATTTATTTATCCACTAGTTGGTAGGTATTTAAATTGCCTACAGTTTGTGACAATTACTAATAAAACTGCCATAAACATTTTTGGACAGGTCTTTGTGTGAACATGTTTTTAGTTCTTTTGGGCAGATACCTAGGGTCACTCTTTCCATCTTGAAATGTCTTCTATGACCTCACACTGCTACAACTCTGTCTACCCCTTCTCTGCTACCATCTGTAAATGTTGGTGTTCTGCAGGGTGTAGCTTAAACTCCCTTCACTCCTCACTATGCATACCCTCCCTTAGCCATTTCATCTACTTCCACGGCTTTTTTTAACCACTGACATGTGCAGTCTTCCAAAACTAAATCTCTAGCCCACATCACTCTCCCAAACTTCAAAACTGAATATCCAAAGGCCATTGTAACATCTTCATAAATACCACAAGCCTAGTATGTCCAGAATTCGCTTATTATTTTCATCTGTTTACCTCCTTCTACTAACCCGCCAGCCTAACCTGACAACAGGGAGGGAAGTGTCCAACTGCATCTGGATATCTTTGATTCTTCCCCATCCTGAACTCCCATATCTAGTTAGTCAACAAGTTTCATCCAGGCTACCTCCTGGAGGGCCACAGGGCCCATTCACTCTTCCCTGTCCTTGCTGCTGTTGAAGAACAGCCTCCCTCTGGCCTCCAGACCTCCAGGCCTCCAGTCATATCTTGTTCTAACCCATTTGGCTAAACAGCCAGAGCAGTCTTCCAGAACCTTCTAATCATATCACCCCCTTCTCTAAAACCTTTTCAAGGGCATCTCAACTTTAACATAAAGGGGTTTTTGGGGGTTTCCTATTTTTTTTGTATGAATATGTATTATTTTATTTTCCAATTACAGTTGGCATTCAATATTTTATATGAGTTTAGGGTGTACAGCATAGTGGTTAGACAATTATATGATTTATGAAGTGTTCCCCCTGACAGTTCTAATACCCACCTGGCATATACATAGTTACTACAATATCACTGACTATACCCCTATGCTGAATTTCATATCCCTGTAACTGTTTTGTAACGACCAATCTGTACTTTTAATCCCTTCATCTTTTGCACCCAGTGCCCAGTCCCCTCCCATCTGGCAACATCAATCTGTTCTCTGTATAAGATAAAGGTTAAATTGAACTGTAGGTGCGTCATAGGTTTTTTTTTAATATACTGATTTTTCAATGTTTTTCATTTTAGATGCTTTCTAATTTTTACAGTTATAGTTTATATTTAATGTGCAATTTTCAAATGCAATAGAAAAGTGAATTTGCAATAAAAATTAATTCATTTTATAGTGCTGGCGTATACGTTATTAAGAATCGTAAGCACTTCATCTGCTATATTAAGCTATAGGAAAAGGTAACAGGCTTTAGAGTCAAACAGACTTTGGTTAAAATTGCACTTGTTCATCTACTAGCTTTGTGATTTTGGATGTACTACTTAACCTAAGTCTCAGGTGTTTTATCTATAGAATGAGAACAATAATACTTATCTTTAAGGTTGGCTTTAAAATTAGATATAATGTGTATAAACTGCTTAACATGGTGCCTGGTACTCAGTAGATACTCAATAAACAGTAGCTATAATAAACAACTATTCTTACTATAATCATCACCACCATCATTATTATTGCATTGCACTTTTCCTCTGAAATCGCAAACATTTTAAGAGATGTACCTTTATTTATCTTCATAGCGTCCCTTTAAAGAAGTGAAACCAATACAGATTTAGATACTTAAAAGTTCAATTTGTTTATCCTCCTTGATTAAATGAGAACATCACACTAAGTGATATATTTACTTATTCATTAAAATGATATAGGTATATCAATAAATGTAGCATAGCTACAAAGTAGCAGGATATGGCTACATGGATCCATTGATCCACATTCTCTAATAGTTTATTCATTTAAGCTGAGTTCAGTGGGCACTGCTTGCACACCAAATGCACGTTAATATCTCTCAAACTTGGAAGGCGGTAACTTAACAACTCTACCTCTCTGAAATCTAGTCTAGAACTAGAAAGAAAACAAAACAATAATATAAAGTCTATGTCATAAGCACTTCTTCACTTTACCAGGGATGAAAACTATGGACCCTTCTTCTGGAGAAACACACAGGTTGCACAAACCCACATTATGC